GAGAGATGAACACTCATGTTGAATTAACTGAACATAGGATTGGAGAACATCATGAAGGGGGTGGGCACCAAATATTTTGAGCCTTAAAATCTTTTTTCTAAAAACCATGAACCAGGCCACGTTACAACCTTCAAAAGTCCTAATTGAAGCAAGGTTATTTTGAAAGCATACTTCAACGAGATAGTGTTCCTGACTCCCATGAATGTTCTAAATAGTTATGTTGGTATCATATGTTTTTCCTATACAAAAATAAATGGTGCTTTAGCTTGCAAAATTTGTGCGATATCTTTCAAAATCTTCAAGACTTACATAACTGTTGCATTAGAATTTTCATTCTCATTGTAAACTTTTTCTAACTGCAAAACATTTGTTTGATATCGAGGAAGCTCACATAAGCACCAGTGATGAGTTTATTCTTTTAAGGCCTGAAACTATGTTGAGTAATTGGCGGATCACGTCAAGAAAAACCATATGCAGGGGCATGTCACCTGAAGACCGTAAGCACGAACATGTTGCTTCTCCCAATTAATGCTTTCCCAACTTGTTTATTCTTTTGGGGAAAAATTTGAAGACTTTGTTGTGCCAACTATAGTCAATCCGGGACAATCACGTCGAGATTTGAATCTCTCTAAGAGTTTGAAGACACCAGAGCATGGTGAATGCCAGGTCTTTTGTAAAATCCTCTTGAGACGATTTCTCCTTATAAACCATATAGCTTGGGGCATTTTAGAAGTGAAGTTATTCGCAAGAATCGTCGAGCATCACGCAGCTCATCAGCAGTAAACTTGGGGCATCCAAAATTAATCCCAGGGGCAATCCAGATTTGTCAAGATATGTTTTTCATACATTATCAGAGGGTGGTGTTCCCAGTATCTCCAGCTAAGCAAGACTTCTTTCCAGCTGAAACTTTGTTTGTGTTGTTATCCTTTCAATGGATTGTTTGCAATAGAAGACTAGACTTTGGGTTTTCTACCTGAAAATATCTTCCTCTCCGAAGAGATTTAAGCCTTGTAAAAGGACTTTGCTCCAATGATGGCTTTTGTTTTCTATCTCCAGTAATGTTACCATCCTGTTGAAATTAGCCGAGTGTCGAGTTGTACTGGATGTCTTATCATTTTCTGTCCATCTCCCCTGTCTATTTTGTCAGCATATACATGACATTCATTTATTCATTCACACTTGCATCATGCATGCACAGTTGAATTTGTTGATGTCTTTGCGTACGTATACCTTGGTTATGTCTATTCAAATAGCGTATTTGATCTTTCCAAATAGAATGTCAACTTAAGCAGAAAGTGCGCCTCCTTTCTAATTCCCCACTGAGTTAACTCTCGTGGAAGAATCTTGCTTTAGCTTTCCTTTTCCATCTATGGATAGGATAAATCCCCATTTGAGTTGTTTTCTCATTGGGTGGAGTCTTGTTTGACTACTTTCTTTCCAGTTTATTCCTGGATTGAGCTTTGTCTCTTGTGAACGATACCCTGTGGATCTCTCTAGGCTGTGAAACCTAGATGGAGAGTGCATTTATTTTGCAATGTAAATACTTGGTCTCCTCAAGAAGGATTTATTCATGGTTCCCCATTGAAGATGAACTTTATTCCCCAGCAGTGTTATCACAACCTTCTTCTGGGATATCAACATGACAACAAGCGACTGACTCTTTATTTGAGCAGTTTGATTATTTCTGATTTCTCTACGACAAATGGCGGTCTCTTCATGAGCAGTTTGTCCATCCCTGACGAAATTATTGATCCCCGTCTCCAGCAATATCTTCATGATATTTTATGGGCACCTTTGGAAACATCAAGCGGCAGTCTCTTCATGGACAACTTGTATGTTATCAACACCTTCTAAAAACGACAAGTGGCGGTCTCTTCATGAGCAGCTTGTACGGAAAACGACAAATGGCGGCCTCTTCATGAGCAGTTTGTCCATCCTCGATGAAATTATTGATTCTCACCTCCAGCAATATCTTCATGATATTTTATGGGTATCTTTGAGAAAATAGCAAGCGGCAGTCTCTTCACGAGCAACTTGTATGTTATTGATACTTTGAAAGGAACAACAAGCGGCAGTCTCTTCATGAGCAACTTGTGTGTTATTGGTAATTTTGGAAAAAAAACAGCAAGCGGCAGTCTCTTCATGAGGCAACTTGTGTGTTATGGATACTCTTGACAAACAGCAAGCGGCGGTCTCTTCAAGAGCAACTTGTGTGTTATTTTTCTCTTGAAAAACATCAAGCGGCAGTCTCTTCATGAGCAACTTGTATGTTATTGACACCTTTAAAAACATCAAGCGGCGGTCTCTTCATGAGCAACTTGTATGTTATTGACACCTTTGAAAACAACAAGCGGCGGTCTCTTCATGAGCAACTTGTATGTTATTATCACCTTTGAAAACAACAAGCGGCAGTCTCTTCATGAGCAACTTGTGTGTTATTGTTCTCTTGAAAAACGGCAAGTGGCAGCTTCTTCATGAGCAGCTTGTACGTTAGTATTTTTGGAAGACAACAAGTGGCAGTTTATCTATTTGAGCAACTTGCGTGTTATTGTTCCCTTGAAAACGACAAGTGGCAGCTTCTTTATGAGCAGCTTGTGGGTTATTGGCAACAAGTGGCAGCTTCTTCATGAGCAGCTTGTGTGCTTTGATATTCTTTGAAGACAGCAAGTGGCAGTCTCTTCATGAGCAGCTTGTATGTTATTGACACCTTTGAAAGGAAGCAAGTGACGGCCTCTTTATTTGAGCAGCTTGTGTATCCCCAACAATAATGTCTACTCAGCAAATGGCATCCCTTCGGAAAAGTCCCATGGGGAAGTTTGTTATTTTATCCTTTTCAAGCGATATCTTGGTCAGAGAAGAAATGTGTTACCGTTCTTGGTAAAATTCAGAAATCAGAGATGTTTATCTCCAGCCACAGTGCTGATGTCAATCATTTTCCAGTCTCAGTGCTGATGTCAATCATTTTACAGTCTCAGTACTGATGTAAATCATTTCATTTTCCAGTCTCAGTACTGATGTAAATCATTTCATTTTCCAGTCTCAATACTGATGTAAATCATTTCATTTTCCAGTCTCAGTACTGATGTAAATCATTTCATTTTCCAGTCTCAGTACTGATGTAAACCATTTCATTTTCCAGTCTCAGTGCTGATGTAAATCATTTCTTTTTCCAGTCTTAGTATTGATGTCAATCATATGCTTTTCCAGTCTTCATATTGATGTAAATCATTTCTTTTCCAGTCTCAACACTGATGTAAATCATTCAAGAGTCTCTCATTTGAAGTCTATGACTTTGTTTCCCCAGTGGAGTTACAACCTCTTCCTCTGTGGGATTACTGTATAATGTGCTTGGTTTCTCTAGCATAGTCTGTCTCGTATGGCGTTATTCCCCATAAAATTCAGATCATTACATTCATATCATATCATGAACATAATCGCGGTATCTTAAGGCCAAAAATTGTGTATTCTATATTTAAGTCCCTTCAATCTCGTCGAAATGAAGATCCCAATCTTCATATCTCCAGATAGAAGAAACTTAAATAGGGGCAGCTGTTGTACCCCAATTTTTGACCTAAGATCCCATTTTTATTTTTACATTTTTTAAAATAAGTCAAGGTCACGAAATACGGTCGGTTTTAACGTCTCACCTTCGAGCTTTGACTATGCGAAGATTGTCAAGTGTTTTGAACATTTTTAGCATATGTATCACTAATTTCTAATCGCATACAAAGGTGTATGTTCATGTTTTCTTTTGTGTCATGTGCAGAGACAGGTCTGAATCAAGAGCATCAAGTGTCGCGCCTCAATTAAGGTTTTGAGTCTCCCAAGCCAGAAGTACGGTTGATTGTGGATTCTCGAAGACTGATTCATCAAGGCACACCGTTGCACCCTAAATGTCACCCTTAATTTTTCAGTCGCACATTCATACCATATTTTGTCATTTGGTCACAATCATTAGTAAATATCTTCATTCATCATATTTTGCATCATTAGTCGTATTTGAGTTGACCAGAAAAGTCAGTTTAAATTAAAAGTTTGCATCGTCTTTACCTGACATTTCACTTCATGCATTTTTATCTCTTTACTCGTTTCTTGCATTGCTCCAAGTTGTCTATATGTCGATAATAAAAATATTTTGGTTTTATAGACAAACTGTTAAAAGCGATTCAGCAATGTATGAAAAATTAGCGAGAAAAATATTTCAAGTTTTCACCTTTTACCGTTCATTTTATGAATCTGCGCTTCGCGTAGATTATGACGGTATGCTCGCTTTATTTTTTCGGTACAGTTCGAAGTCCCGTTTTTAACCGTAAACGCCTGTTTAGCCTGATATTTTAATTATCATTTTTACTTCGATTTTGATCATTTTAATATTTTTTTCATTTATCTTTGAGGCGTGTAGTTTATTTTAATGTGTTCATTTTATTTTTTCGGATAAATTTTCGTCCGTTTTTTTTATCATTTTTGGTCATTTTAGGTCTTTATTTTTTATTCAGAAAAATTCAAAAAATATATTTTAAATTGCATTAATTTGTACACTTTCAGGTTTTTAAGTCATTTTTATTTTAGAGGGATTTTTAATCATTAATTTTTTTGTTAAACTATTCTTTTTTTCTAATTGGTTGCAAGAGGTAGTGCAGGATTGATAAATTAGAAAAGAGAAAGAACAACACCATAAACCAACTCTCCCTCCTATTTTTTAATCCAGACAATCTTTCCCCCCACAATAAAAAAAAACTCCCGCCTGCATACATCCAATGCCCAACATATTTCTTCTATTTTATTTTTCCATCCTCTCTACACACTTGCTATCATCTCTCCAATCTCCAATCCAGAACACACACCCATCACCACTCTCACCAAATTGTCTCACTCATAAAGCCACTAACAACAAACAACCAGTTCCATTTGAAATTTAAACACCTTTTACAACAAAAAAACACAAAAAGAACTCACTAACCAAATCATCATATCCCAAGACGGAACAAGTTTGTAACACCATGACCCTCTTTCTCACCACCATCATCCTTGCGTACGGCATATACTGCTGCAGTGGAGAAACAGTCATAGAGTCAACACAACAATCTGATTCAGTGGTTTGGATCATTCAGCTTTCCGATCTTCATTTCAGCGTTCATCATCCAAACAGAGCCCAAGACTTCACAAAACTTGTTGGCCCCGCTCTTTCCTCCATCCCCCACTAAACCACACTTCACCTCTCACCTTCAGTTCCCGCAAGCCAGTATTCCTTCCGAATCCCACACAAGCCCCAACTCGTGATACTGCAGCGACCACCACACTCACAACTTACCTTCGTTCAACACTTCAATTTTCCGTCCGGATCTTCCACACCGATTTCCATCGCGTATTCCCACCGTACAGATCAAACACCAATTGGTTCAACCTCCTCTACTCTATGTCAGTCCGATTCAATCCTCCAACAACAGTGTTACTCCCTCTGTTCTTTCTCTGGCTTTAACATTTTCGTTGCAGGTTTTGATACTAGATGAGGCTGACCGTATTCTTGACAGTGGATTCAAGAGGACACTAAATGAAATCATCTCACAGTTACCAAAACGTAGGCAGACTATGCTTTTCTCATCAACTCAAATGAAGTCAGTTCAAGATCTTGCAAGATTAAGTTTGAAGGACCCAGAGTATCTGAGTGTACACAGAGAGTCTGTGGCTGCCACCCCTTCTCTCTTGAAGCAAATTGTGATGATTGTTCCTCTGGATCAAAAGTTAGATATGCTGTGGACTTTCATAAAGACTCATCTACAGTTCAAAACAATTGTCTTTCTATCAAGTTGTAAACAGATTCTAAACCTCGAGCCGCTATTCACCGTCGCATCGCTGTCGTAAAGTCATCTAATCTGCACCACGAAGTCGCCATTTTCGTCTTGGACCGCCGGTAACAAAATCTCAAAAAACCAAAACTCTCTCTATTCTGTCTTCTCCGTCACGGTATCCATCATCATCGCCTCTCCCTTCGGCCGCCGCGTGGTGAAAGACCACCGAGAAATACCAAGTTGGCTCGTCTGCGCTCGTAGTAGGGAAACAGTTCTTGCACCCTGCTTATACTCTTGGGAAGAATTTAAAAGGAAAGGATCTTCTCGCTTTAGCTACTAAGTTCAACGAACTTTCTTCCATAACTGTTGTTCTTACCGCGAAAGATGTTAACATTGACGATTTCTGTATGAGTCGCTGCGGGACCCACGGTTCTGTTCAACATGGCAACAGTGGTGGCCAAATGATGTAGAACTTCAGAAAGCTATCTATGATGGAAAACTCATAAGCAGGAAAGTGAAATCTCTATACACGGCCGGCATACCTTGGGAAGTAACAAAAGGATCAAATCTCTCTTTTATTTCGCTTGCCATGCATGTTGGAGAAAAGGAAGAGTTCATATTGAAATGTAATAGTCTTAAATCCGTGTTTCCGTCAAGTAATGATGCTCAAGTGTGCAGTGACAAGGGTAAGATTTCCGGTATTGGTTTGAAGGGTTGGATACCTCAATTATCTTATTTGAAGGATGCTGCTTATTGGGTGTGGAAACGTGTTCCTCATCGGTATGTTAACAAGAACTGTGGCACTGAGGAGAAAGAGGTTGACAAGAAGGAGAATGTGGATTGTTCAAATGCGAAAATAATTTCAAAGTCATCTATGAAATTTCTTGCAACTCATGGCTTGGAATAATGGTGGCCAAATGATGCAGAACTTTGGAAAGTCATCCATAGTGGAAAACTCGTAAGTAAGAAAATTAAATCTCTATACACCCTCCATTGTGATGTTTTCTAATTCTCACACCAACTTTGTTAGTTATTTTTTTATTGTTAATTAGTCAATAGTAATTCTTTATCATAATTTTAGATAAACCTCAATCGGTTAGTTTAGTTTAGAATCAATTTAACATTTTCTTTAGAATTAGTTAATAAGTTTAGAATTTTTATCAAGCTTAGTTAGTATTTTTTTTTTTAGAATTTTATTCGGTAGTTAATAATTTTAGAACGTTTAATTTAGTTAATAACTTTAGAATGTTTGATTTAGTTTAGTTAGTAATTTTATAATTTTCATTTAGTTTAGTTATTAGGTTTTAGAATTTTAATTTAGATTTAATTCAATAATCTTAGAAATTTCAATTGTAGCTTAGAGTTAATGTTTTGCTATATTTCTTTATGCTTGATTTTTTTTCTTCCGTCACGTATTCTTTATTATCATTCACTTGTTATCAATTTTTGTTTATGTTTATTCCTTTTTGATTTTCTTTTCATATGTTAATAAATTTTGTGATATTCTCGACTTAGTTCATTTTAATTTTTATAGCTTATTTTACTGTTCGTTTGTTTAACTCCAAGGGAAAGATTTAAATTTGTTGACTTCATGTCATCAACTACATCTCATCCGATCGTGCGAATACCCTTTTTTTTCATTTTTGTTTGTTTACTATTTTTCCAAACTCAAGATAATTTTCCCAAAAGACTCCATCTTCAAACTCACACCTTTTAAGTCAAAACTTCGACATTAGGTCGTCGTATCTTCAAAAATCTCGTCCATACCCATCTTTTTAGCCAAACGAATCATTTTAATCAAACAAACAATTTTAAACCAAAAAACAGATATTTCAAAAGGTTCCTGCGGAGTACCGCAGATGCATTGGGTGCTAATACCTTCCCATTGCATAACCAACCCCCGAACTCTCGATCTCTTTCAAAAACGCATTGTATTTTTATTACTTTTAAGTCTTATTTTACATTGTATATTTTTAGGGTTTTATTTCGCTCTTTTCCCTTTTCCCTTGGAAACAATAAAGCGCGGTGGCGACTCTTGCTTTTGTGAGTCAAGTTAATTAATAGCTTGATCTCCGATTTTCACCGCTACACTATCCTGTTTCGGGAATTAATCTGCAACCTGCTTTTGTTGGTCGTAGAGATAGTTGCCCCATCTTGTTTTAGGAATTAATATCTGACCTGGTTACGTAGATAGTCACCCAGTCCTATTTTTGGAATTGATCTACAACTTGTTCTTCACAGATAGTTGCCCTATCTTATTTCAGGAATTAGTCTGTGGCTGGTCATCCAGATAGTTTCACAGTCTTGTTTCGGGAATTAATATTGAACCTGCTTTTGTTGGCCATAAAGATAGTTTCCCTGTCTTGTTTCGGGAATTAATCTCTGATCTGGTTACGTAGATAGCCGCCCCGTCCTGTTTCAGGAATTGATCTACAACTTATTCTTCACAGATGGTTGCCCCGTCTTGTTTCAAGAATTAATCTGTGGCTGGTCATCTAGATAGTTTCCCCGTCTTGTTTCTAGAATTAATCTAGAACCTTCTTTTGTTGGCCGTAAAGATAGTTGCCCCGTCTTGTTTCGGGAATTAATCTCTGACCTGGTCCATAGATTGTTGCCCCGTCTTGTTTCGTGAATTAACCTTGGACCTATTTTAGAATTGTTGCTGATATTCGTATGTTGATTGATCTTTCCTGAAAAGGTAAAGAGTTAGCTGTATGCAATGTCATGATGTATGAAACGCATTGCGTAATGATGTTCTCAAAATAAAGGAGACCGTGCTATATGTGTTTCGTATGCATATGCTATGATGTATGAATGTGAAATGTTGTTGAAGTGTATTTGTAAACCCGTGCAGTATTTTTGTCTGGGAAAATAAATCCCTGTCTGTTGATGGGGATGAAGAGTATGTGTATCTTCAATCTCGTCTAGAATGCTTCCGCTGGGGATTCCTTCTTTTTGTTTGAGGAAACTCCACTGAGGAATATTGATTTCTTATTTTGGGGAGAAGATTTCAAGAACCTTGGTTGTCCGTTGCTCTATTGGGGAATTTAATTTTTATATACCCTGACTGGGGATAAAATAGATGGGTAACCTTCAGACTCCTCTGGGGAATATGATTTTTATATACCCTGACTGGGGATAAAAGAGAGGGATAACCTTCTGACTCGTCTGGGGAGGATAATTCTTATATACCCTGGTTGAGGATAAAAGAGATGAATAACCTTCCGGCTCGTTTGGGGAAGACAATTTTTATATACCCTGACTGGGGATAAAATAGATGGATAACCTTCCGACTCATTTGGGGAGGATAAAGTTTGACTGATATCTGATCTGATTCCAGGTTTAGCAGTAACTTTCTGGGAATAATGGTGACTTCACTTGGGAAGAGGAATTTTGTCAGTGATTCGTAGTAATATGAGGAATAGACTCGAGCTGGGGAAATTGTAGTTTGTTGGGGAAATAAACTCTGTTAGAATATTCTACTGAGGAAACAAACTCTCTTGGGGGAATTGAATTTTGCTAGAGAGAAGAAATCTGTAGGGGTTTTACAGTTTTTAAACTCAGATGGGGAAGAGAATTTCCATGAACTGTACTGATTGGAACTCCGTAGGTGGGCGGTATTATCGGGGAGAAGATCATGCTCCTTTATCCGCTAGGGGGATCTTCTGGTTAGTATGACTATGTTATCAGCTGGAAGATGCCCTACTTTCTGTTTGAAGGTATTTTAGACTTGTCGGGGAATGTATCTTTGTTGAAGATGAGCCGGTGAAGATGACTCTGTAGAGATTTATGGATAACTTGAACATTGTCCTATCTCCTAGAGTCCTCGCTAAATGCTGATCAGAGTGATAAGTCTTTTACTGATAGACAAGTGATGAGATAACGGGACATAGTCGTACGCTTTAATCCCTAACTTTTGCTTGTACCGTCTTTTCAGACTTTCAGTCCATCGGGATACCCTTTTTTGCCCAAGCCGCCTTTTTCATGTTTTCGACTTTCCAGGTGTACAATCTTTTGTATGTATCCCTAATTTTTTCCCGAACCCTTTTGGTTCGCCGGGATGCCCTTATTTTTACCTAGGTATGTCAACCTAGCGGGTCTCTTTTATGCGTAGTATCTTCCGACTATGTCCGTATTCACAGGGTGTGAAGAGTTGTCACTGTATATGGTAGTAAATGTTGTAGCACTGTCAGAAAGTGTTCTCTTGGTCATATGTGACCCTTCGTATGTGGGAGTCCGTTTGCCTCCTGGGTTAGTCTGGTGCACCCGATGTTTGAAGTTATTGATCAACCATAGATTGCCAAGTTTCAGATAGTCTTGACCTTCCTCAGTATTTTTCTAAGAACTTTCATGGAAGGATCCGAAGACATGATACTGACACCATCTGATACTACTAGCACAAATAAGATACCGAAGATTCAAATTTCAAAGTGGTTTTTTCTAGAACCCCTGATCAATGTAACATGCCCCCAGTCATTTAGATGGAGATTTTCCCCTTGCTATTCAGCACTTTTGAGAGATTCTTTGAATCTCGACTTGACTGTCACAGATGAGTTAGACAATAACATGTCATGCCCCTTGATTATGAAAGGTTTTTCATTGGAAGTGTCTTTCCATTTGAAGTGATTATGTTTATTGAGAGGATTTTCGTTCATTGGATATTCGTCGTGCGAATTTCTCTGCTGTCGAATAATTAGTTATATGCAAAAAGTGGTATTTAAAATGCAAAGCTTATGTCTGTCTTGAAAAATTCAATTTTAGTAAAATAAAATTTGCAAGAATGTGATATAAACTCAGGATTTATAGCGAGCCTTACAGGAGTCAGGATACCTTTTTGTAACTGTATGCTTTCGAACTAACCCGTGCTTCAGCTAGGACTTTTAAGGGTTATAACGTAGCCTGGTTCAAGGTTTAAGAAACAAAGGATAAGTCTCAAATTTTATTTGTACCCAACCTGTTCTCTGTGATTTTCTTTAACCTTATACTCTGTTAATTGGGCGTTTAGATTCTAATTGAGTCTGGAATGATATTTGAGTGATGGTTCGGATACTGGAAGTTTATTTGAGAAGGAAT